TTCCAGCCCAATCCATATGCATTGTCAGAATTATGCATTTTGACATCATGCATTGTGAGATAGTCAACTGTATATTATACTACAGCAAAAAGTGAAGCGCGCTACCGGTCTCCCGCTTTGGTTATTTTCTTGTATTTTCTTGCTGCTAGGGCTTTCCATGGCCTCGGAACGATGGAAGATGTAGCGATAAATAGACGGGTGAAAATCGAGTCCACAGTTGTCCAGAGGCATTTGGCGCTTAAAATTATCGCCCACGGATTTTGATACACCAAGTTTTCAAAATTCTGACCGATCCTTACTGGTACCTTACCTCCTCTCGCTGGAAGGATTTTCGTCAAGGTAACTTACCTGTCATATGATAAAATATGAACAAAAAATTTTGCACAATCTTTCACTACTATTACTCATATATTCTACGTACAAAGTAAAATGATACAGATGTAATGTTTCCCAGTGAGTTACACCTCCAGACACCAAATGCAAATGCCAACGATTTTGAAAATCAGTCGCGCGCCAGTCATGTGATATTTTCACGTGAAACTTAAATAACAATAAATTCCTCTATCAAACCCCCCATCCTTTCGAGGAGAGGTCAGTAGAAAAAGAGTTACTTCAATCCCCTCGGAGGCTTTTCAATTTTGAGCGCAACCATAGATGATAGCAGCAAACCTCAAAACAATCTACACCCTCATTTAGGGGTTCGGATACGGGGAATCGAACCCCGAGCTGCCGCGTAATCTCGTCTCAAGTGAGAGGCGGCAATGTTAGCCGTTACACCATATCCGACTTCGGGAGTAGGTAAGGAACAAATATTATGAATCCTGTATCATTATCCTTCAACTAAAAGAAAAGCTCTCGGCAAGTTCGGCCAGAGACTCACGTCCGCGTTGTCATAGACGCAGAGTCCGCCGTATTTCCTTACCTGAGGACCTTATCGAGTCACTGTGAGTCAAGCCCATTGATACATTCTCAGAGCATCTTCTGAGATGCTACTCAAACTTTAAGTAAATACTCTGTCAAACCAAAATGTAAAGTCGACTTTGCTGGCTCTTTGCAGGAACGATTTAAAGCATCCGAGCTTTTTTTCCCCTGTCGCAATGATGCAGAGTTAACCGCGCGCGCAGCCGGAGACGTAACCACGTACGCCACAATCCATTTACTCAAGTCGTGGAAGTTCCAGCAATTACCAAAAGTTTTGTCATCGAGGTTCATAAATGGGGTTTGTCGACTGTCAACATGTGGCTCTCCGTTTTTCCTCCTCGGTTAGCTACCTGCTACGTGTGAGGTGCACACCTACGGGCTCTGGACGTCGTAGTGTCCAATATGGATGCCCAGGAATATGCTACTGTCGCTTTCAATGTGTATGCCTCAAGATATGCGAGCAGTAAGTCACTGTTCCGAAGTATCTTTTCTTTGATTTTCATATTTCAACAGTTGCTGGCTACGTGGTAAGATAGACTTTACCATTTAGGATACGAACGGAATGCTCATCGAGTCAGCTTATGCTCTACGACCATACATTAACGTTCGACGAGGAGGTTAGGTTCATATGGGCGGCTCCATGGACTTTGCCGAAGACGCTCTTTCTTATCATTCGTTATTTCGTTCCTGCCTTCGTCGTTATCCACCTCTGCCGTAAGTTTTTTCGGAATCGTCGTACGGTATTCAAAACGATTTGACGTATCGGCGAATTTCGCAGAGCTGACAGGACTGAATACCTTCTCAGATATGGTGGGTACTTCTTGGGGCTGGCGTATATATATTGCTGACGGATTCGTAGTTGTAAGCCTTGTTGCTCTTCGTGATTTTCAATCCTGACACCAGGAATGGATTAGCTGTAAAGTCTGGTTTAATATATCAGTAAGTTTCGTTTGCACTGTCGAACAAGGCTATCTCTGATGTGTATCTGTAGGCCTGCATGGGCATTATCACCATCGCTATAGGAAATTGTAAACCATCAAACTTGTTACATGGCATTAATTCTATTCTCATCCGTCGTACACAGTCCTGGCCCTTATGCATATATGGAATCTCTGGGAGAGAGATGGACGGCTGATGGTCCTGACGTCGTGTTTGTTCGTGGCAACCCAGATAGCCAACATCATTTGCTTGACATTCTCCCTTGTACATATCACCGGTGCGTTTTACACGGCATACAGCGGGAGGTTCTCAGGCTCATCACTCCTGTCTCATCAGAATCTGTCTACTTCAATTCCACTTTCTCAATGTGCATGCTGTCGGACCGCCACTCAGCCGGAATCATTTGGGCTCCAGGGGTATGCCATATTCATATTAGTGTCCTGGAATTTCGGTCTCACGCCCTTTCGGGTAGGTGGCGTTCGAAGTTGTTATCTTTTCTGCTCTATTCTGGAACGCGCTCTCCCGACCTCGGTATCTAGAGGATGATTTCACTAAAATCCTTTACAGAGATGGATTCGCATATATTCTGGTCAGTTCACGTCTCTAATCGCATGCCGTACTATGCTCTAATCGCCTTCCCATTTCACCTAGGTTGTTTTCGGTGAGTCCCTTAAGCCATGTCTCCGGGTCTTTTTGTTGCCATGCTGAGCGCCGCCTCAGTTCTTCGATTAATGAACCTCATTCTATCTTTTGTCGCGCCAGTAAGACATCGTTATCGGGTCCGCTCTATGTACTCACGGCCCTGTTCAGCTCTCTCTTATTTTTCTGGGAATATTGTGCGTTCTTCTACTCCTCGTGTAACGGGGAGAGCCAACTTAGATCACAAACAGTTTTATCTGGTGTTCAACCACTATGACAGTGACGCGGCTGGTTCTTGACGTCACTAGGATGGCTGAAAAAAGGGCCTTACAGATGTTCCAGATCGAGCTAACACGATTTGAGTACAATGATGAGGACAGCGAACTATGAAGTTGAAGAACAGTAATAATAAGGTACCCAGCGGGACATGATACCACATATTTAATAGCAATCCTAGCATAGAATAATACCCCGTAGTAATTGTTCGGTATATATTGATAAAAATGTATATTAGAGATTCTGGCCTGATGATTATGTGGGAATGAGGATAAGCAAAGGCTTGCTGGTGGAACAATAGTACTGTTACAAACTGATGTACGAGGGTGGATGCCAAGCAACAGTTGATGTAAGTTTGATGAATGAATGCAATTGCGACGCGATGAGAAAGAAACAGAAAGTCCGGGAAAGGAGGAAGTCATATATGTTGGAACCGACGAATGCGAATAAAGCAACAGCAGGCCGCAAGGAGTACGGAGTGAGATGAATATATTAGGCATTAGGGCTGTAGCTAGCGAAGTAAGGGTGTTGCAGGACGCGTTTGGCTGGGTGGAGACACATCAGACGATGCCGCAGTTGCAAGTACAAATAATGCACGCACCTGAGATACGTCTTGCAGAATCGTAAGCAAGAAGACGCTGATCGTGTCAGGAATTAAACAAACGACAAGCTTAATGAGATAGGAAAGAATTGACGAACTCTAAGGATATCAATCCCGGCAGGGTCCAAATCGGGAACGAGTCTGGAGATATCTTGGACGCCCCAGCGGGGGAAAGTCGCCTTGTAGTCAGGTAGGTTGGAAACGCCAGGCCACATATCTTCGTTCGGAGTGCCCAAAATTCTAAGGCGATGCGCTTAGACTCGCAGGTAACAAATTTCCGAGAGGGGGCGTACCTGAAAATCTTAAATATCTGATCGATTTCAGAGTCTCCCGGAAAGAGTGGCTGTCCTTGACAAGCCATCTCGGCAAAGATGGCTCCGACGGACCACATGTCGATAGCAGTTGAGTAGTGACGGGAGCCTAGGAGAACTTCAGGGGCCCGATACCAAAGTGTAACAACCTGGCGGATAACATCGTTAGGGACACTTGGCGTTTGAGATTAGCGCTCAACTTACCTCATGTGTATATGTTCGCATAGGTATCCCAAAGGCGCGAGCAAGCCCAAAATCTGCCAACTTGAGGTTATTGTGCTTGTCAATGAGAAGATTCTGAGGCTTTAGATCTCGATGGAGGATCCGATGAGAATGACAGTAGAGCAAACCCGAATTCAGTTGATGAAGAAATTTCTATGACCAGAAAGTATAGATTAGAACGCGTAATCGGATATGTTATTGACAGAAAAAAAAATCGAACGCGACACCGGTCACGTGACATTGTTCCACAAACAATATAATCCGTTCATAGAATTATGGGGACTCCAAGGGGTACCACGACAGCCCCAGATATTGATAAGCGCAATATGCCTAGGAGCTGGACCGGAATTAAAGAGAGATACATGTGGGCGGCCAAGGAAAGCGCCCATGATCGCTGGAATAGTCATTCCGGCCGAAATCTCGCGTCAGACGCGTCCAAAATTTCGCATCGAACGTGTCAGATGGATAGGGCGCTCATACAGTCGTGAAAGAGAGTGGCAATCGTACCTTGGACATTTCCAGCGTAATAGGAGTGTGATTTTTGTTGGCAAGATCCATATATCGCTTGAGGTCGACGTCGAGGAATTCGAATACCAGATAAAGCTTCTGGTCGGCATGAATGATGTCGAGAAGGCTGAAGAAGAGACTGAGAGTCGATAGGAATGAGTAGCCCTCGAGACGAACCGAACGACATGGTCATCCTTGAGCTCCTTGAGGAGACTGATCTCTCGGATGGCGGTACTAGGTACACCCTCGTCTTCGGCTTCGAGTCTTATTTTCTTGAGGGCAACTATCTGGTTGGTGCTGGTATCCCTGGCCTTGTACACGACGCCGTACGTCCCTGTGGCTCAGGTCGTCAGCAGAACCGTCATCGATTAAACCAGTGGACCGTACCTTCGCCTACAGTAACACCCAGCCCGGAATCATCAGCACTGTCATAAATAACGACGACGGTCGTCACGCACCGACTTTTTCTACCTTGGAGTATCTGGCAGTGTCCTAATCAGCTCCAGCCCGGTCTCGATGCTGCATAGCTCTGCTCACCGTTCCATTTATTGGTATCGAGTGCAGGAACTGGTATTGAGCTCAGAATGAACTTGACAACGAAATATAAAGCGAGCTGATCGTTACAGTGGACGATGAGGAGGGAAAGCGGCGGAAAGATACAGACGATGCATGGAGGAGTGGTGTACCGCTTTTATGCGTCAAATTATTGGATCTTGATTGATGACGTAATTTCTGGGTATTCAATTCGTTGCATCCTCAACTTTTCTGCCTGTTGGTCGCTTGTGTAAGATATGATTACATCTCTTAAGCGGTGTAAATGTGCCACACAAATCGTACCAAGATGGCGACGTCGATTTGTGGCACAAAACGTACAATACTGTGCGACAAAGTGCACCTCATGCCGGGCTCGTGGTTAATATCACCACACGATGGATCATCAGCTCCTTTCAAGGACCGTTGGCATGCCGTCGTCCATACAATATCCGTCCACTACCTTCATCTCCCTGCACCGTGCGCGGATTCCGGATCCTCTGCACTCAGCGCTCATCTCTGACATTTTACAAATAGTTGTGATCAGAATTGTGGCACTCATTTATCCGTGGATCTTACTCACCTGAATGTACAACTTATATTTCTTGTCGTACTTATCGGCAGAACATTGAGGGTAGCGATATAACGATGGGTCGCCTGGCGCTAACCGCGCCTGCTCTTGCCTGATCGTGAACTTCAAATCAGGTACTGAGAATTTCAAAACGACGGCGACGACGAATGACATATCGTTCATAGCCTTTCCCCCGCATTGACCCACCGGCTAAGTCGTCATGTTCAAGTCCAAATGTGTCACTTATGACTTTGGCAAGCATCGTACGACCGTCAACAACGGGCGGGGACGGGGCCCTCTTTAAGAACCACAAGGGACGAGTACAAGGAAGTCCAAGAAGCACAAGCTGGCCAAGAAGTCACACCGGAACAACGGAAATTCAAGCTCGACTTAACAGTCCAAATGGCGAGTTATGTCGCTGCCGATGCACGTCGGGTTGGCCTGCACTATGTCCTAGTAAGGTGTTGGTTAATATCCCGCTCATATCCGGCGTGCACAATACATCCAAGACCAAATACCGCCTGGGATCTATTCGTAGTCAAGACAAGTAGATTCTGCAGGCGTGGCGAACATGAGGCCAAAGACAAGTGTGGATCAGCCATCCGTCCGAGCAGCACACTTTATACATGGAACCGCAGTAAAGCCTAGATGATCCTGATTTAAAGAAGGGGGATAAGAAAAGCCCGCTCACAACTCGATTCACCAGATGATGGTAGCAAGAAACGCGACAATCCTTACATGGATACTGGTCGGCAGAAGTCCCAAAAAAAGAGAAAGAGCTAGGAATAATCCAGCCAAGAGCTGCCGGGATGCGTAGCTATACTTATTTTGAATTAAGAAGGAGGGGTATATGGCACCAGAGCGGGAATGGAAGGATTTCCGTGTCAGTGTCAGTCGCGCGCCGTGTTTCAAGTCGAAATCCACAAGAAGAATACTCGCCACAGAACAGGACGCCGAGGTCCTCTGAAAGCGGCCTATTGACAACCGTGGTGAGAACAAAGAAAGAAAAGAGCCATTGTGCTGACGAAGCGCACGTGACGGTGCCGCGCTGGGAGCACGCGTCACCTAATTAGATTTATTGTTCTCTTTCACTCACCATCCTTGCCACTCTCATTCATACTAACGACCAACAATGGAGGCTATGTACGCTCCCTACTCATCTCAATTTTTCGTGTTGCTCATCTCTTCCAGGCGCAAGCGATTCATGGACGAAATGCCACCCTGGGTCAAGCACAATAAATTTGGAGACATCGACGGCTACCCGGTAGGATCTCACTGGAATACCAGGTGTGTAACCTCTTTCAAGTATTTCAGCTGCTGATTGTCCTCTGAAGGAAAGAGTGTGCAAACGCCGGCGTGCATACTCAACATACCGCAGGAATAGTTGGCAGTCTTCATGAGGGCGCAATCTCGGTCTGCACGTCCAGATATTACGGCGATGATGATCTTGGGGACGTTCTGTAAGCAGCACACGAGCACCTTTTCTTTCAACGCTTACTCCGTCTTTCAGAATCTACGTTGGTACCGGTATGTGAGGCCTTTCTATAATGGAACACCTGTTGACCAGGGTAACAAAGGAGGGCAACGGAGTCAATTTGGCGTGCGCTTTCTGTTCTTCATCTGTTGATATGCCTGATGAATGATTGCAGATACCCACCGGGGAACAGATCGAAAATCAGTCCTTTTTGCACCCCAGCAATGCGGCTCTCGCTGTATGCTACCTCCTTCCCATCTCTACTTGTATGCTAAAAACAACAATAGCTATCCAAAGAGAAGGGCAATCCAGTGAGAGTGATTCGCGGACCTGGCAAATCTGTATATGCACCCGTTCAGTAGGCAATACATCATACCCATCGCTCCTATGCTGACGCTTCTCAAGGGGGTATCGATATGATGGCCTGTACACGGTCGAAGATGTGAGTTACAGTGATTTTTGTATCTGTTTACGTGTGCTCATATCTCCATTTCGCAGTATTGGTACGACAAGGGGCCTGAAGGATTCCTACAGTGCAAGTTTAGGCTCGTCGTATGTCACATGCACCCATCTTTTTTCCATCGCTTCTTCTCACGTTTCTGCCGAAGCGCAAACCGGGTCAACTCCCTCTGCCTCGCCCCTCCGCCAAAGGGTCGAGGAAGTTCTAGTCAACTTGAATGATGACGATACCTCCATTTATTCATCGTTCCTCCCATCTTTTTCCATTGGTTAATAATGTAGAGTAGAGTAACGGACATGTATGATACTCTGCGCCCCCGTGGTGGGCTAATTGATTAGTTTGATTCTGCGGTTGGCCGAAGCCGTGGCCCTGACATGGGTGATGCAGGTCTGGTGCCCAGCAATACAGGTTATTACAATGGACTGGAATCCGAATACTTATCAGTTTCTTGCTAGTTGTTGTGATTTGACTGACATGAAATGCCGAAATGCGCAATATTCCACTCTGGCTTAACCTGTGACCCCTCAGATGCGCAACAACGTTAAGTTTCTCCTTGCGACCACAGTCACAGCAGACCTAGTAATACATTTACCTTTGTTGCACCACATGCACGCTATAACTCACAAGTGTCAAACTGTCGATAAGGGATTTCGGCGGTATATTCTTGAAGTGGTATTCTCTGAATAAATTATTCTGAGGCTCTCAGTAGCTTGAGTCGTTAAACCCCCCGTATCCCAAATACTGCCGTTCCGGGGAAGGTACTTTGTAAGAGTTGGTGGGTGAAAAGCCCACAAAAGAACATTGGTATAACCGTAGAACAGGAAGAGCGCCAAGCTGAGGTGTACAAAGGGAGCAGAAGATTTCCCTGCGACCTGAACGACAACGCCCTGGCAGATATTTTCCAGATGTCAGAGAGATGGTGGCCGAAGGGCAATGACGGGATGTATTGAAGAAGGGTGGTTTTGGGACTCGGAGGGATCTCAATCTGGGATGGTAATGATCATTACACTGTCCGACGCCTGGAGTTAAATAAAATCTCCACCGCCAACTACGACATTTTTTTGGATGTCGGTGAGGGGCGTCTGCTGGCCCGACAACAGGAAAATTGGTTTACTCTTGACAGGTTATCAATACCAGCGGGAGCAGCCAGTGGAAGTCCGGAGCCGACATATTTTTTAGTTACCGCAAGGCTGAGTCACGAGAAGCGATAAAATCGCACAACGCTTTCTTCTGTCCAATCATCACGATACGGAGTACGAATGGAGGTACTATTGAGGTAATATGTCGCAGTCGTGATGGACGCACCGCGCTGAATTGCGAGGCCACTCCTATAGATCACGTTGAAACGTATAAGCCACTCCTATGCCCAAAATCATGATATTCTCGATACACTTTCATTCGCAAACTACCAAGATGTTACCACATTTATCTTCAAACCCATCTCTGAACGATGACACTGTTCAGAAGTCCTGCATCCTTAACCGTCTGCGTGTTGTCGTCAAGGATACGATTCGGAAACGTCGTCCCGATAGAGTACGGCCGTGTGAGATTTTCAGGGCGAGATCTGGTGGTGGTGTTATAAATTTCAAAACAGCCGTTACTGATACCACACTTACGCATTGATGAAATTGCGAATGTCAAGGATCGTATGTGTCAAGTTCATGCGGCAAACCATTCTGTATAATTTTATTAGCGAAAAGATACTTTGACGTATAATATGTAGGAATACCTAGTTCCATCAGCCAAGCGTATCTGGATACTCGTAGTCGGTTTTGATTGATCGACTGCAAACTTGGTAGAGATACGTTCACGGGTAGCCTCTGAAGAAGGAGGGGAGAAAGAGGTGGACGGAAAACTTCCTGGCATCGACGAACCGGATGCCTGTGCAAAGTCTCCTCCAGGAACAGGAGCCCCGAGGCGGTTACCACTCCCAAAAAAGCCAGTACGTTTAGGTGGTACATAATCTTCATCGGTATGCTTAGCAACGCGGAGTTCAACTGGCTGCCCCGGGAGCACATTGAGGATAGACGGTGGCGCGCGGCTGAGTCGTGATAAATTAGAACGCGTAGACGCCAAAAGACGTATACCCCCACCCAGAGTTGATTTCCGCAAGGATTTGTTCATTATTCGGATCATCGTATCGCATGAGGTCACCATCTTCGACAGTGAATCCGTCTCTCCAAAAGGTGAGATGGCGAATTGCGGTTTCTTCAGTGCCATCTACAACGCCGGTCAGAAACATTATTAAAGAAAAAGACAGAGGGGTAATACCATTCTCCTCAGCATTCAGGTCAGGAATGAAAGTACTAGGTACTTCGTCACTTCCTAGCGTGTGTCCACCACCAGTAAATACATGAGCTCTGGGTTCAGATCCCATCGCTACAGGTGGCGGGCCAGCTCTATCCGTTGGTATGAGAAATGTAGATCTAGCATATTTTTTGACGAAAAGACGTACTCGGCAGCTCGACGCAGTAAATCGCGCACCATATTACCGCCTGGAACGCCCCTACGGTCAGGATTCTGGATAGAAATTCCACTGAAATCAGCCATTTTGAGACAGCAAATCAACAATAGATCATGATGAGAACATACCTCCTCTCTCCACCGGCGAACCAACTTTCCCTGTCTTCGCTTGGGCCATCTTCATCGTCCTCATCTGAATCACGACCACCACCGCCACCACCAAAGGATTGTGGCGACGGCATCGATGGCCCGCTGATATCTCTAAGAGTACCGAATCTTTGCCCATTACCGCCACCTCTTGAGGGTTGCCCACTGTCAGAATAATGAGCATTCAATGGATACCCAATAATGAGATTCTACCTGGAACTACTCCAATCTCCTATACGTCCAACACGGCGTGTATCCGAAGTGCGTGCCCACGACTCGGGCAATGGTTCGCTTGGACGTCCGTCCAGAGTGTATCCCACGCTGTTTCCGTCTGACATGGCTGGTCGAAATGGCGGCGATGAGTGAAAGATGAGCGCCGCGTCACCGTCGGCAATGGCAGTGTTTTCTCACGCCAAATTGAGCTTCTGAACTCCGACATCTAATCTTATCTGCCTCCGAAAAGTTGCACCATCCTCGCGCGAACAGTGAGCTCGCGTTGGGGAAACGGTAGCTGGAAAGGCCTATTTTCTCTTTTTCCTGAAATTTTGCTGAAAATTTTCGACCCTCTATTAGCTTATCCCTCTGGTCTTCCGAACAGTCAAGCCAGAAGCCATCCAGTTGCATCCATTCCACCATTCTACATCAGAAGTGCAAATTCGAAAATGTGGCGTTCTAGAGTTTTCTACAAGCACTGTTGACCCTGCTGAATTCCGCCCCCTTCGCTGTACAAATTCCGCTTTGCCCGATGATTGGGCGCACGCAGGTTTTAGAGAAAATCTCTACCCAAATCAAGGACGACATGCGCGTGGCCAGTCAATGGATGTAAGTGTAATTGAGAATTTGCTAATGTATAGATGAAATTCATTCTTCCTTCAAAATTGTCTGGGCACGGGCCTACAATAGATTTCTTTCATCTGGGTATGGTATAGTATAGGCAGGCTCCCCCGAGCTTACTTGGACCTTTGGCAGCATCTTCTGTTGGCCATCAGAGGTGCATGACCCTCGAAGACGGCAAAGCGTCTCCTTGAACCAGGCCCACTAGCAATGGACGCGGCTATGATCGTATGCCTCCGCGGCAAGGGTTGAAAGTGTCATCCCTGGAGCGCCACAGTAGTCAGACTGCGCAAGACGTCTTTCTCACATGTCCTAGTCTCATTGCTGGCGTTCTAGGCGCGGCTCCTCTCTTGCATATCGACACATTCTCCATCCAATACGAGTCGGCGTCGTCATGTTTCCTCACTTAGTTACCTCAAAGTGGTTTCGCCGATTTCATTTTGTGCATTTATCTGGCTGCCCTGGTGCCTTCGCATGGATGACAGATTGAAATCCTTTTTCCGTGTGGTCACGTTTACCGTTCCCTCTGAACTCAAGGTTGGATTCCTCCCAAAAAATTACTGTGGACATCATACGTCTCTGTTGTATCACTTGTCTGTCCAGCAATACATCACAGCAGCCTGGCAACGGTAGGAGCCCGTAAAATTTGTGGGAGTTTGTCCGTAAATCTAAGCGATCACCCGTTGCGGGCCTTCCTTCCGACCTGCATGGAGATAGGGGGACAAACCGTTACCGGTTGTGATTTGGTTATATAAACCCTGGTATAACAATCTGCAAGGTAGTGAAATACCTCCCCGTCCCGATGGCCTTGACTGCCGAGGAGCACAGTGAAGCAGTTTTTCTGTTAGGTCCATGGGTGTGTGCCATTCGATGTTCTAAACATTGTCCAAGAACTCACGGCTTTATGTAGCTTATTGGCTGCTACCTAGAGGTCTTCCTGCAAGGGATCTTGTGTTGCCAGGTCAGCCATTCTTTGGCTACGATATCTTTGATCGTTAACCGGTTTGTGTTCTACCCCTAGTTTTCGCATTACTGGAGTTGGTATCGCGATGACAAACGGGCCATAAAATTGGCTGTCGCTGGCCTAATGCTTTTGACGACACTCAAATCTATACAGTCATTGTGAGTACATAAAAATCAGTCGCGCCACCCTTCCTTTAACTCCTGGATATTCCAGCGCTCTCATATGGATCCAAAGCATTTTATATGTTAATGATCTTGCCGACGCCATCAATTTAAATTACACCGCGTGGTGGCAATCGTATAACTCCCTCTTCGTGCGTACAGGACTTACTCGATTTCTCTTCTCGCACTCAGGCTCTGAAAGGTCGCCTCCATCGGTATATATGTACAAGCCTACTTCTGCTATCGGCTCTATGTCATATCTAAAGGACCTTGGGTCGTTACGCCAATCGCAGTAATCTGCGTATATGCTTATATCTCCATGGCCGTGGCAGTAAGCGTCTGTTTCCCTACATTCGGATCCAGTCTTTGAGGATGCCGTCTAGTGCTACTACATTACAAAGGTTGACGAGGCAGCAATTGGGAAATGGTGTAAGTGAAGACGTCATGTTTGTCAATATCGATATATTCATGAATCAATTACAGTTGCATCACATCTTGGCTCCGTTTTTGGTACGGCTCTCGACTCTGTATCTAGCCTATGCGCTCCTATGCGGGCCATCGCTAACTTATCTCCTTCATAGCCGCAGATTTCACAATGACATTTGCCACGGCGTTTTTCTTGATCCGCTCAAAGAAAAACGTTCTTCCTCAGTTCGTCGTATGCTACTGTTTTCCGCCTGTCCAACTTAAAGAATTTGTAGAACTGTTGGCTTGATTACCGCCCTCGTGCGCTTGACATTTCAGACCGCGGCTCCGGCTTCAATTTGGTAAGGCAGCGTTATCTCAGTGATTTCGTTCGAGCTCACATTTTGTGCCTTGCAGTGCTATGCTTAATCTCATTTTTTCCCAAATATACTCGGGTCAGGATAAGCTCGTATCGACGGCCTTCAACCAGATCCTTCCAAAACTGTATGCGATTTCGATGATGTGGACACTAAATGCTCGTCGAAATATTCGCGCTGCATCGAGTAGAGGGACGAACAGCCATGAGCTGTCATCTTATAACCGATCGCGCCGTCGGGTAAGTGTTGAAGTTTGGATGCCGAGTGGTTCCACACTGACGCCATGCGCAGAATGACGTAGAGCTGGGCGGATTCAGTGGAGCCGGGATTCAAGTGAGGACTGTGCAAGAGACTATCAAGCATATTGATGTAAGTTCTTCCTTATCCTTCTGGAACGGACGAGGTCTCATTCGCATGAACAGCTGGAGGATAGCGGCCGGATGAAGGATGCTTCTGATTTGAGAACAAACAGAGTAACCGCTAGTGACGATTACTCTGACTCTTACGACAAGGTCGTTGTGTAAATTTCCTTTCGCTTCTGTTTATTTCGTCATTCATTTCTTGGTGATTTCTTGGTTGTTTATAGAAGAGCTGCCAGCGCCCTATACAATAGATGTACAAATTACGGAAACGTAGAATAATCGTAAATGATATTCAGTGTAGTCCGTGAAACTACCACCAACGCCGAATACAACAAAATTCTCTGTATGAGGATACGCGACGTTATTCACTGGGAGGAATCGTCTTTGGAATCGAGGGCGGCCAGCTTATCTACCAGATCTTCCATGACCGAGTTCGATCGCTGGTGACTACTGGGCAGCTCAGGGCCAGGGGTATTGTTAGAAGGCGGGTTACTAACAGATCCTGTTTTCGTAGGCACCAGGACTGATCCGGCTGGCTCGAAACCAGGGGCAATCTTTCGTAGTGCCTCACGCTTCCGCCGTTCCTTCTCGTCATTCCGCGCCCGGAGAAATCCTTCACGGCGCGCGGTATGGGCAGCGAACGTTGTTCGACGTGACGATTCGACAGTCAGAATATGCGGTTCGAGCGTGAATGGATATACAAACTAAAGCTGGGTCAAGCTATGATACTGGCCCATGGGACGTCTGACTCACATAAGCCGTCACAGAATCAGGTAGAGGGTGTATATCCTGGGGCATTTCGACCTGTTATCCACGTCCATCAGACTGGCGCATTTTTCTTGAGGAGGGTCACTTACCGGTCGAGGTACACGAAGACTTGGAGACTTTATCAAGGGAACATGAGCAGCGGCAGCATATTGTGCTATCATTGTCAATTAGAAACCTAAACTAACTCTGTGCAAATAATTTACATTGTTCTTGCATCGTTTATAAAGGAGCAAAGCGCCGCCGTGGATTGAGGTTGCAAGCAGGAATGACGGTGGCTGGAAAGGTTCTTTCTAACAACAACAACAAACAACCTACTGATTTCTTACTGTCATCTTCAAATTCCATCCTTTCGCTGTTCTAAGGATTCCTCTCCCCAGCTGTACTTTTGCGTGATACTAGAATGTCTCTATCGGCCTCACAGAGCCTTATCAGCAAGGCGGCGCCCATTTCTCAAGGCGCAGAGGCTGCAAGTCTCTTTGGTCTCGATCCATGGGCGACGATTGACTTTGCCCGATAGAAAGTATACAAGGTGGCCCTCAGCTCCGACGCTACTCCAATGTTGCTCAAATACCGATTCAAGAAGCAATACAGACATCCTTCGTTGGATGCGAATTTGACGCGGTCACGAGTAGCAGGAGAAGCGCGCACGATGCTGAAATGCCTACGATCTGGGGTGAGCGTACCAGGAATTCGGATGGTGGATGCTACCGAGGGCGTTCTTGGTATTGAGTGGATTGATGGTCAGAGCGTTAGGAAGCTTCTACCTGGTGGTGCGGAGGATGATGACGAGGATGAGGATGACAGGCTAGCGAATTCAGATACCCCGGAAGAATATGGCGTCTCTGCTGGTGGGATTTCCTTCTGTTCTTTTTCATGTGTGGCTGATTGGACATTCATCAGATGCAATAATGCAATTCATTGGCACAGAGATTGCAAAGATGCACCTCGCCGATATCATCCATGGCGATCTTACAACATCGAACATGATGCTCCGACATCCTCGTCGTACGGGGTTGCCTGTGCAGATGGTGCGCCTATAACCTCTTCAGCGGCATTGATACCGATTTCTTTATAGTTCCTCGTGGACTTTGGTCTCGCATACCACTCCAGCCTCACTGAGGACAAAGCCGTCGACTTATACGTTCTGGAGCGCGCCTTCTCTTCCACGCACCCAGAATCTGAGCCCCTCTTTGCGTCAGTGTTACAAGCATACGAAGTTGGAATGGGCAAGGAGTGGTCTGCTATCAAACGTCGGCTAGATGATGGTTAGTCCTTTTTCCCAAGTACCTTATTTAGGGCGCGAGGCCTTCATATCTTGCCTGAGGGGGGTGTTCAACATGTCTCTGAAGGGATAGGAATACTTTCACCTTTGCCATTGGAGCCCTCGGCAGCTGCGTCTCCCTTGTCTCCCGAGTATCGCTGACGATAAATTAGTTCGTCTTAGGGGCAGAAAGCGCAGCATGGTGGGCTAACACAAGCCTCCATATCCATCTGTTGTCCATTTGTTATGGGTAGAAGTGGGCAGACGACTTGGCGCGACGAAGGGCGAATGAAATCGGATACTCAGGCATGATTTACGCTTGGATATCAAGCAAATATACTGTTCATGTAGAAAGTATAATAAGCATAGAAAGATGAAACCCATGTACAGTAGCACACACATACGAACAGTACATTGATAAAACAAAACAGAAGAGAGCACAATGCCAGTCACTTGAGATCAGATAAATTACCACCAGCGGCTCTTTCGATACCAGCAGCCATCCTATCCACCTTATTCTGTGCATGGTCCTGTCGTTGCCTTCCTCGAGACCTGCCGACTTCCTCTTCATCATCCTCAGCTTCCTGCTCTCCTACCATGAACTCCGCCACAAACTGGGCAATCGCCTTCTCTCCAACCTCGCTGTGCGCCCGATTGCCCCACCGCCACTCATACGTCGCCCCGGAGTCATCGTCTCTCTGGGTTGCACGCACACGCTTGCCCTTCCCCTTCTTCGCATCTCCCACCGACAAGCGCTCCACGTAACCCTGTCGGATGATCATGTTCATATACGCTTCCATCGACACGCTCTTATGTGTCGAGTGGGCGTCGAACTTGACGGAACCTGACATGGGCTGACGGAGTTTCTTCAGATGCGCGCGGAGCTCCGCGTCGCTCAGGACTCGGCCGCTCACGAGAATAAGGGCGAGGACGATATAGAGAATGCCTAGAGAACCGAGTTGGTCTGTGTGACTCCACGAGATAAGGCTGCCATAGGTCCGCGTGCGCCGTTCGTCGTTGTCGTCATTGTCATCTTCCTCCAGAGCTTCCTCTTCCAGGATCTTCTCGTTGACTTGGGCCGCGTTCTCGATGATGGCGGGGTCGAGGATCGAGCGCAAGATATAGCTCTTGGACCCAGCGGCAGCAGCTAACACTCAACTCAGCTAGCGCAGAGAGGAGACTAGGAAATAAGCACACCTTTCTTTTTGACTCCAGCCGTCTTTCTAACTTCGTCGAGGTCCTCATCACCACCTACACTATCCTTGCCCAGTTCCGCGCGAGAGCGGAGCTCGACGAGCTCCATTCCAAAAGTCTTCCTCAGCGTGTTTTGCGCGAGTTGAAAGACCTGATTGAAAGAACGGGTACTTGAGCCAAGGACTGCCAGAAATATCAGAAGGAGCAACAATCATGCAATTCTAAGTCAATCGACCTTTCTTCGAGATCTCTTCCCGGCGCAAAGGATTCCGTTTGTTCTCCGCAAACAGCGCCAGGCGCACCAGCTGATTAGATTTCCGTACAAGGTCCTAAAGACGCGTTGGCAACGCGACAAAAAGCATTTTTGAAATCACGCACGTCATCTCTGGGAGCATTTTCTTCGTCGTCGTCGACATCCATTGATCCATCATCGCCTTCCTCATCCTCTTCATCGGTCTCTTCTGTTCTATTTCTCTGAGTTCTCTGAGTGGCTCTTGGGTGGGAGAGAGCCTGGGATGCGCCTGAAGGTCTCCGGCGGGTGCCTGCACGACTCATATATGTAAGACGAAAACGCGGTGTGACGTTATTTCGCTGTGACGGAGCGCGTTTCACATTTCAGATCGGCCCTTAAGGCCGCCTTGTAAACATTCAGGAGTACGTTCTCATCCTTGATGTCTGGAAGCCTCGGGCATGTTACCATTGTCATTATCATGAAGATATAAAGAGCTCCCTTCTGTGACCAACAGCTCCTCTCTTTTCTTTACACTCACAATAACAAAGCTATCTCTGGCGGTGGCAGTTAATTGAAATCCTTCAAATGCTTACCAAAGAGAAAGTCTTTAAGTCCCATGAATTTACTACAGTCCAACTCTACCACAATTATTTTGTAGTCATTTTTTACTGTCCTATTTGAATTATCTGGGCTACCCTCCATCATATCAAGTATATTTTTGAGGTGCTGAAGATTAGGCTGGCTGATCAACTCAAACACTCTGAACTGTGGTCACTTGCCTCTGCATGGCCATATGAAGGTAATAACTGATGCAGGCAACTGCACCAGCTTACCTGATTTTGAGAAACAAATGGAGCATCTGAAGCCACTGCAGAATACTTGCTGCTGTCCTTCTAATTCCTGTAAATATCCATTTAAAATGCTATAACAATAAACACTTGCCATCACTTTATTATCCAACTTGCTTAAGAAAAATGTATCTAAGGTCTCGACTGCAAAACAGATGTATCCTCTTTGTTCCTCTATTTTTTCAGCTGATAAAGCAATTCACTCAATTCCATGAATATAAGTCTGCTGATAGAAAAAGTCCATGCCATCCTCTTCCATCAATTGTTGAAGCCTGCAGTGGCATTCATCCCATGCAGGAGCATCCCCCTGAATCCTGACAAGTAACAAAAGATTCTTCTTGATTTGATTTCTGCAATTATAGTTTTCCCTTTGGGATGCCGATAAGAAGCATAAGAAGCAGATCCTCGCAATCCAAACCTCTTGCTCGACTTTGCAGGATGAATGTATTCAGGATACTCTTGCGATACCGTCTACTTCCTCAGCAACAGCATTGTAGATGGAACCCCCTTCATTGTCTGCATTGTTGACTGTACCTCTCCCAGAGTTCTTTGGATCGGCAGAAAGAGCGTCAGCTAGCGTAGACATCGTAAATGAGCACCAGAAACAACGTGCTAAACACACCCATCATCCCGGCAATTTCGGGTCGAAGCTGTGCCTAGTCCAGTTACGTTAAAGAAAGAGCCATATCGCTCACCCTGGGCAACCCTTTGACCCTAATGGTGATGGGCTTCCGTGAAGGAGCAAAAAAAGACGAGCTTGGAATCCAACGAGCCTTGAGCGCGCTCGGCGTGCCATGAGCGGTGTATACTAGAGAGCATTTCTCTTTTCTCACTACAGCGTCGACAATCTTATTCGTGTGGTCCAAAATATGGACTAGAGGCCGAGGACACGGTCTGGCCACTCGGACCGAAAAGCCGAGGCGCTCTGCATCAAACACTGACAAACGAAACATAATTTTCATTCCGTGACTTGCCTTGGTTGCTTGTCGCCTTTGGTTTCACGCCGTTCATTCTTGGTTTCCTCTTCCATCTTTCAAAATGTTTGGCGGATTTCTCCGTTCAAGCACTTCTGCGCTGTTCTCGGTATCACGAACACTGCCCAGGACAGCAATACCGACGCGGCTAGCTATACGGCTCGTCTCGAGTGTCTCTCGCCTCACCGACACCCTTTACATAGCCAATCTGCCGTACAACATGACTGACGACGACGTACGGTATGAACTCGGGAGCTTTGGAGCGATTAAGAACGTGAAGATGGGTGAGCTAAAAATTTACTTTCGAAGATGGTCTCTGACGACTTGCAGGCGTGAACTCCAATGGTATACCGATGGGCTACGCACATGTTACATTTGAATCTCAGGAATGTGCTGAGCGTTTATTCAAGTCCCACCAGGAGGAGCCGTTCGTGTTCGGCACCCGCCAAGCGAGAATCGAACTCAGCATCCCCTCGAAGGCACGGGAAACGCGCGAGTCTGGCGAGACGAAGTCGCTCCCTACGCGAACTCTCTATGTCGGGAACCTTCCGTATAACATGACAGAAGACGACATACGGTATGAGCTCAGCAGTTTTGGCGAGATCCTCCGTGTACAAATGGGTGCGTAGCTCGTCTCTCCATTCTTTTCGTACCTCTGATGCGTCCCTAGGCATGAACTCTCGCGGTCTCGCACTTGGCTTCGCACATGTTGAATTTGTGGAAGTGTCTCAGGCTATGAGCGTTTTCAAGGCGCACGAAGAGCAGCCATTCGTGTTTGGCGGCCGTCAGACCCTCATGGACTACGGAAAACCCTCAAAACGGGATGAGAAGCGGGGCCCCTCGGATACGCTCTTCATTGGTGGATTCCCTGATGGTGCAGAGGCCGAGTTGAGGGAAGCGGCCAGCAAGTTTGGGAGACTTATGCGGGTTCATGTCGGTGAGCATGTCTTACTATTCTCGCTTTTCGGAGTCTCTAATGCCATGCAGCGTACGATGCGGAGGGCAAATCTCGACGCTTCGCGCATGTACAATTCTCCCAGCAAGAGAGTGCTGAAAGGGCGTTTGAGCATTTTATGAGAGAACCGCTTGTCCTGGACGGTCTCCAGATGAACATTGACTTCCAGGAGACAAAAAACCCTGCACCTAAAGACCCAAACCAAAAATTGTATTTTTATGACTTCATTGGAGACGAAAAGGCCATGCGTGAAATGCTGGGCCCATACGCGGCAAATGTGGTCAGCGTATACTTCCGTGAGCGTTCACTATTGTGACATTGTCAGTGGATGTTCTAACTATGTTTTCTTTAGTGCGCAACAACTACTCGGAAAAAGCGAACGCAGGCTTCATTCACATGAGCGACGTCGAGAGCGCGACAGACTTGATGGAGAAGCTAAATGGGACACGAACAGGGGAGGGTACCACCTTCAAGTTGGAATACGCTCGTCGTCGAGAATTCGACAAGCCTCGTTCGCCTCGAAGATCCTTTGATGACGATGAGATGTTCTGAATGTAATATACTCGATATTAAAAGTAGACATATCTAACTATTATATTCATTACCCCACTCCACCATTGAAAACGATTTGGGTATACTTTTGAAGATTCCAAAGTTAGTGTCTGGTTTAGCCAACAAGCTGAACAGCATGGGCCGGGTGCCGTATCTGGCTGTCTAGCGACCTTCGTGCCGGTTCTGGTACATAACTGTCCGTGTATATCTGCTCGCCATCCTCTCCGCCATCGATGAATGACGGTTCCCTCACACCGACTCCGGCTGCTTGCCCCAGGCTGGTTTCAGAGTTGTACGTCATGACCGTCCAATCAGTCCCTTCAGGCGGCTTCACTGCCTCTGGACCCTCTGTAGACATCAGCGTATCCTTTGACGCGACCCTGTCCGGCCCGGTCCCAGCCTCTACCTCCGCCTTGCTCGGCACAACTGGCTGCTCCATCGCTTCCCGTGAAGTCAACCATGACCACTTCTTACTCTCCAATCCATCATGCTCAATCGCCAACAGTGACACCGTCATCGCCGACACGATAATCTCCAACCCTTGCTCACGCGAAAAGAAATGGCGCTTCCCAGGAACAGGCTTCGATGCGAGGATCTTGACGTCGTCGCCTGAAAAACAAGCATCGATGGCACGTTTGGAGATGTGCAGCGAAGCGTGACGTTCACGGAAGAGACGCCTCCAGGAAGGAGTTGGTGGTTTAGAAGAGGAAGAGGAGGAAACCGTGTTGGGAAGGTTTGGAAGCCGGAGCTCAGCGACGAGGAAGTCGTCCGGGTGTATGAGGTGTCGTTTTTCGTATCTGGTGCAGTACAATGAGCACAGCAGTTCCTTGCGCCCTTGACTGTTGGCCTCTAATACAAAATATCCGCCGCCGGGGTATGGCGGCTTGGGTATCCCCATTGGGTCACTGCTTTCGACTCCGGGAGGGTTGCTGTCCAACTCTGAGATAACGAGGGCAAAGAAATGGTATGCGGCGCCGTCCCGTTTATGAGTTCGAGAGTTCTGAGGGTCGTAGGAACCGCAGGACGGCGAGATGGTGACGCGATTGCCGCGAACAGTGCCAGACAAAACGCACTGAGGCGTGGCAGTTATCGTTATGTGGCGAGTGTTCTCGTCATGGGCTTCGAAAATGGGGGCGTATCCCTTGGGGTACATTCGCGATCGTGAGGTGCTGTTGACTGCGCTGAGGCCTTCATTGCGGTTGATGACGACGGCCATGTTTTTCTTGCCCAAAAAGTGACTGATGGTTTTCTTCTCGACTTTGTAAGTGGGACGCCCACTGGATGTGAGTGTGGGGTTCCGTCTACGGACGCTAATTTCGGTTTGCTAAATGATGATGATATAATTAGTGAGAATAAATATACCGAGCATGTGCCGTACCTTCCCACCAACAGAGGTAACTAGCTCCAGGTCAAATATGTCGTATTCCTCTTCTGGAGGAGAGGCTTCATCGTCAGATAAGGACTCTACACGATAAGCATCATCATTGCCAATGATTACATGGTATGCTGAGCCGGCGTCTGACTGGAAGGAATTATTAATGCTGGGTGCACGAACAGATCCAGCGGGATTCAGGGCCATGATGGCTGCTGAAAAGGAACGAAGGTGGAAAGGATATTTGTCGGAGGAAATAGGTGATATTTTGCATAGGAGCTCGAGAATGATCGAAGTATTAATCTAATTTTAGGGACGCCCCTAGTAATAGCAAATGGTTTTGGTCGAGAACGAATAATTCGTATACGACGGGATACGAGGGTATAGATATATTAATCACTCAATGCTGCCAGGTAGCTCTGAGACGAAACCAGTCAATGAGTGCGCCAACATTAAAGCGACGGGACAGGAGACCAACCTCTCGTTCTGCAAGGAATTCCAGATACGTCAGGGCGACTGCGATCCAGAAGCTCGTGTCCACACCAACCAATCCTTCTTCGGCTCTATCGAACTCAATCGTGCCCGTAAAGGATGCGACTGAGTACACTGGCGTCCGATCATGGAATACCAACAAAGGCGGACACAGAATCGATTTTGGACGCTCAGTAGGTGCAAGCACTGGATCTGAGGCATAGGGAGGCGGAGATACTGGTGGCTGCGCGACGCGCGACAGCGTAAATGAATTTGAGTGCGACGGTTTGTGGTTACGCAGCGCTGCGAAGGCACGAGCAAAGATTGTGCTGTCTTCGGTCGTTTCTACATGCTGCGACGAATGAGGAGCAAGGATAAACTCGGAGACCTGTGGTTTGTGCTTGTTCCTTCCGAAATATTCTTCTGATTTAATGGACGAGGATGGCGACGATGATCCTGGTGGTGGCGGGGGCGGTGTTGGCGGATAAGAGTGGACCGATAACGACGACGAGCCTTCCTGGAATGTGAAAGCCTCTTCCGGTTCTCTAAGATATGGCATGTTCGTTCTACTGAAAAACGACAGGGCGGCGTCGACATGATGAGGCGATGTTGGTGATACGGGCGCCAGTGGAATGAATACCCCCGGTGGAAAGTGACGCGATCGAATCCTGATATACCAGCCACGTTTGGGTCGATGTATTGTCCAACATATTTTAGATGTAGGATTATGCTATAGCACACAGAATTGAACAAACGAATCCGACGGCATGTAATGCCTGCATACGCACCACGATATGCTCAACGATCTCGTCGTCAGTGAGGAACCTTTCCTTCAATACTGATGAGCCTTGGATAGCACATTTTCAACCTATAATTCCTTGCCTTGTACCAGATAACAGTGTCGGAGTGCTCTTTGGTAACATTAACGCGTGCATCCTGAATAACATCGGTACTGTTGCAAGATCAGACAGCAATGGTGCCCAAGTATGGGATAACAGACCTGTGTACGTTGTACCTGTCTACATGAGATTCGGTAGTAGGAAGTCCGGCTTCAACATTGGGGGCCATGACAATAAGGCCTCCGTGGCGGTGGTAACGACGAAGGGTTGTAAGGTAGGGTTAGGGTTTGCAGGGCGAAGTCCGGACCCACATGGATCTATAATACCTAATTTGGACTGCAGCCGGCCAACACGGTGACGCTTACCTAACATGTTTGCGTGCAAATATTTTTAAGTGCTGCTTCGTCCGACATCGCTCTCAGACTCAAAATTGCCTTCTCTTTACGCCAACAATTAGCGATATTTCTACTTTCCTAACAAATTCCTTTTCAAGAGTCGCGTCTGTAGATGAGGCTCCCAACATGGCCGTGACCATCAACCCTACCGTTGCTTATGGGATGCTGCACCTCAGCAGCTCTTGAGCGTGACTTCCTGGGTTCCTCCTTTCTCGCTTTTGTCATAATGCTTCACAGCGGTGCGTGAGCCATGAATTCGTCCCCGTTGCTATTCGAGGCAGCTGCCTAGTCGACGATGAAGATGAGTGGCCTTCCGACCCAGGATACAGAGTGGAGCGTGCACTCTTCGGTGGTATCGTGGGGATCCCATTCGTCGGTTCCCCAACTGATCCCGTTCGTCCTGAAATTTCTCGTTTCACTTTGTACACCAAAGATGGCGATCTGAACATGTATAAAATAGGTACGCAAGCTTTCTCTTCAATGCTCTTCAGTTATTCAACCTATCTTAGATCTTAAAAACTGCAGATTCTTGGCGACGAACTCCGTCCGTTTAATCTCGAGCTGCTTCGAAAACAAGAAATTGCGAAGGGAGGAGTATGACTTCAGACCTGTGTCAAAGTAAATACACTTTGCGCGGCTACCGCTGGGAAGATGTCATATAGTAACAGTCGACAACTACCGGATCCGCAGTGGTATTTTCTTCGCCGACGGGATTGTCACCAAGCAAGTTAGTAAATCTGCATGCCTGCTGAACCATTTGTTTTACCGTACATGATATCAGGTCCTTCTTCGTCCATGACGACGCCTTGCATCAGTACCTTCATTTAACGTTTTTACAAAGGCTGTACTGGAATACGTCGATTTCGGGACGACTATATTCCGTCATCATTCTCCATTTCCTGTGCGTGTGCAAAGAGCATACAAGGCTTCTTTAAACTCAGATTTACTAGCCAAAAGGATATCTAAGTTCCCAGAAGAGAGAAGGGTGGATTTAAGAGCAAGAGCCGTTTCAGACGAGGTTGGATTAAGGTATGCGGTCTTCGAATCAGGTCATGAGTTAATTATTATTTACTTGTACACGAGGCGTTTATCAACTACAGCATGTTCGAGCACCAAATCATGCCTGTATTGCATTAAGTACCTGTGGGGTAAGACGTAGTGATGTCATCGGTGCCGCATTGGCTTAAGAGGGCGGATCCTTTACCTTGACTTGAAACTTATCTGATGGCAGAAAAAAGAGAACTTGACAGTAGTTCTGCGGAACTTCCACTCGCAAAGCGAATAAAACTAGCCCGACCGTTCCTTCGAAAATACAAGGTTCTTCTCGACGAGGTCAATGCGCAAAGTCTAGGATTTCTGAGGCTCCTATTGGGTGAGGAGGATGACGACTCGGAGGAACCTAGCACAGACGACCTTGCACAAATAGTCAATGCTTGGAAGAGACCCCCAAAAGTATGGCCTAAGTTCGTTCGTAGGTGCCTTTACTGAAAACTGTTTAGGTACAAACTTCCTTCACATTCTCTGAAGTACCACACTTTATGTTGCGGAATCGTTTGGGCATTCGAACGACCGGTAATAATATAATCAAGAGTCGGTTGGAGCTACGACAAAATTCCAAATATTATGCCGTCGACCTCGAGCCTTTATGCCAAGAGCTTGAAGTCATCTATGTGTCTCCAACATTTATGCAAGTAGCTCTGCACCGCGTCTGTATCATTAACGAAATTCTTCCTTCATCTAGAACCAGGTGGCGTCTCGCTCAATTGTCAGCGCCTATCTCTCTTTCATCGCCGCAACCAAGAAAAAAGACCGCGAAGCCCATATCGAGGCTGCTATCGAAGCCAGGATTGAAACCAGTCCCAATCTCGATATAACACCCCTCATACCCCCCAATTCCGACCCAGTGCTGTCACCTTTTCTAAAGACACCAGAAGGTGCAGAGTGCCCTTCGACGCTCGCCGAGTTCAGCACCGACGATAAAGTGAATTTTGTGTGGTGGGGAAACCGGCTCCTCGCAGGCAGTACGATCACATCCGAGTTGGAAGGCGTCAGGGATCTATGGAATCCTTACCTATACCCAGAGATAGACATCGACTCTGCTGTCCCCAAAGGTGCATCTCAGAATGATCCGGGAGTGACGCTGTCTGGGGTGGTGGATTATGGAATGTTGGTATTCAAGACTTCAGACATTAGTCTGTGAACCATTATTTCTTTTTGGCTTTCGTTGCATTCAGGTACTGTCCATAATGGTGGTCATGAGGAAGTCGTCGACGGTTCCTTGAAGGCCGGAGAGCTTCACCTTCTATATATCGAAGCCAAACTCGACTCAGACAACATGATGATCCGCTGACCGAGGCATAGCCCAAGCACTAGCTCTGAGCACACTGTCCAAGTGAGTGTTATGCGTTTGAAATCTGCCCTTTAAAATTACCTTTCCAGCCGGCCAAACATGCGATTCATTGTGACAAACTCTTCGAGTGGATGTTGGCTCATCTGCGTAATGGGCCGAACCCTGAGATTGTGTACACGCCTTCTCCGTATATCCTCAGATCTGAACACCCATTTGAGGTCTCGCACGGATCTGTGCAGGATCGGGAGAATGCATTGATGATTTGGCAAGGAAAAGTGCGGGACATCTTTATGACGTTAGTGGAATGGGTGCGTTCCAGGTATCTGTCTAAGATCACTTTAGCAAATCTTTCCTACAGTTGCTGCTGGAGAATGAGTCATTGATCAAGTCTCCGCCTCCGTTGTCCGCAAAAGCACCTGTTCGACCAGCCTGAGGCCTTGATAAACTTTCATGTCCTGAAATACACGCACGGACTGTCCTGTATATTATAACTACACCCGAGGTGTCTTCAATTTTCAGATCTTGAATTCATTTTCCTTGTTTATTTACAGAGTTCATCCACTAGAGTACACGAGCGCCAAATCATGCTTGCAGTCAGTACTGCTGTCACTCCATCAGAGAGTCGAAAAGTTCGCCAAGTGTTTCAAGTTCGCCACAAGGACACGAGTTATCCAGTGAGGATCGTTCAAAGTCAAGAATAGGCAAGGCCTCATTCCAATCTTTTACGGCATTCCTTGGCTCAATATCATGGTGATGGAGTCCTGTGGAATGAAGAGTATTCACGTGTTTCCAAACTGTTCAGCTACATTCACGGCCAGTCAGAATCAAGCAAATTATCCAGGTCGCTAGTTAGTCTAGGCAATACCGCCTGCAGAACGTAACGCCGCCGGCCGTGATGCATGTGCATGAAAGGCAGAGCAAGAGGACATTGGAACTCCGCGCAAAATTAGCTCTTGACATCGACCAACACAACGACAGGCAGGTGTTTTGCGTTTGTTCTTGTACCACCACCACCTACCTCACACAATGCCAGTCCTCCATTGACATGCATGGAAACTCGTACCCGGCCACTTCCCCATCCAGCAGCTATCTGTCGAATTGATCCTGGAGGTATGAACTTGTGGTCTGTTTTATTCCGAAGACGCGTCTAAATGCTCGTAGATATTCGCTTGGTGTGCACCGCTGGATCTGGTCATTGTTTGAAGTGTATCCAGGAACATCAAGGCGATATTGGACCAGCATGGGCACCGCCGTCGGACTCATACAAGGAATCATCTTCTTCGCTTGCCTGCTGTACTATCTTTCCCGAGCAGTAAATTCAGTGAAGCCGCCTTTATTAACTATTTCTTCAACTCTGGATGCAATAAATGTTTCGCAAGTAAATGCCCCATCTCACTGCCCACAGAGCTGTGGTCGTTCCATAGAAAATGCATTTCCCAATCGCACAAACGTGAGCTGCATTCGCATTCGTTGACCAGTGCTGAGTGCTGATCTAGGCGGGCTGCTTCAAGCATTTTACGTCGTACGTCTTCCGTGCAATAATTGTCCCTTCTCTTACTCACCATCTCGGCTTTCAGCCATCAGCAAGGATATTTCTTTTTCTACGACATGCAAGAGCAATCTCAACCCAAGTACGAGCCCATCCTTCCACTACTATACTGTGACGCATTCCCGGAGAAGAAGCTCTATTTGGTGAAGCAGGCAAAGAAAGAGCTCGCCTGGTACGAGCACCTCTGATCGTTAAGAAACGAGGACACACTTCATGAGGTGCCAACTCCTCCATAGCATTCGTTATCCATTCACTGACATCGGCGCAATCAGGTGACGACTGAGAAGAGAAGGACTCGGCAAATTCTGGGACAGGTATGTCCTGCTTGAACTTGGATCCATCGCTTAAACAGGCCTAGCATGCAGGCAAGATGCGGAAGTAGATGGCTGAATACAGTCGCGAGCTTATCGTTGTGAAAAAGAAAAAATCGCGCATTGTATGTTTTCCCTTACTTGGTTACTCGCACTCATGGATCACCCGTAGCTTAAAGACCACCACACAAGCCAAGCGCCTCAATTATCAGGTCACTCTTCCCACTCCGACAATCCACCGAACGCCGGAGGAGTTTAACCGGCATTTAACATGTCTTACACTGACAGGTGCATTGTTTCTTCTGGTTGCACTGTGCCATTGCCGAATTGCGTAGTTTGGCATGATATCATGACCCAAGTCGTTCAGGAATACAATGAGCTCCGGGCATGCCGAAGTGTTGCCAGACAGTAATTTACGTCTCCTTGACTGGTGATATCACCTGCGTCGTTCGGATGGCGTTTAATGGGGTACAGTTGACTACATTGTGAGTCCTTGCAATTCCAATCAATTGATTCTATCATTCAACAATGCACGTCAGTACCTATCCTAAACACAACAGTTAGCCTTCCTGTCTCAGACTGTTCCAGCCACCTGAACAAAAATCAAAACTATGAATGTGATGTCGCAGGTGGGGCAGTGATTTTTGTAGACTGCGCTCCTTTGGCGGCCATCCTCCGGACTTGGTCGCCATATCGCAGAGGTACGGGGAGGTGTAATGACCTTGGTGAGTTAGATTCCCTCAAAGGCGATATCGTAGACTCCAATTTTGGCAACTGAGACACCGCGTCCTCAACCATACCCGTTTCGTTATGTCTTGCTCCGTGTATTGATTTTGTTGTCCTAGGAACCACTCGCGGAGACAAATCCAAGACCGGATATTTTGCATTTTGAAGTTCATCGCCAGATCTTTGTCGCCAGAACGCCGGGTGTCCCGATATATCCGTGCAGCGCCGCACTTCAGATGGCCATGTTGTCGTACTCATCTTTTGTCAGACAAGAGTCAACGAGACCTTGAAGAACGCCTCGCAGAGAATAACGAGCTCCTCAAGAAGTTGAAGAACACAGGGCCGCCAAAATGATCTCTCGCAATGTTCGTTTTTATATTTCTTGTGTCTGCTTCTGCTAACTGGTCGTGCAGAGACCCTCAGCCAATTGTATTTCTCATTCCTTGGTTTGTTGGACTCTTGTAAATATCTTTGTTGCAGCCTCACTCTCATTTCTGACGTCGCGTCCGTAGCGCTAGCTTCTGTTGTATCTCGCATCCTAAACAAAAATTTTCACCTGCATATATGCGCGTAAAATTGGGCGATTAATCGTTCAAAGATAATATTTCAGCGACACGTCCTAAACTCCTGTACCGATGGCAGAAGTGTGTGGCACCTTGGCGCCTTTGCCTCCTTGCCCAAGATGCTTCTTACGACATAGATGGTCTCGCCTTTTCTGCAGAAGTAATTCCATAAGGGTCTCGATATGATAGACAACAGATGATCCAGATACACGCTCCGCCTCCGGCTGCAATTCTTGTGTGAGGACGTCACTTTGTCCGTCTTGTGGCCCATCTGCAACCTACTATTAGTCCAGCAGAGCAATGTATGAAGGGCGGCGGGTAAACCCCACGTATGCAACGCCGACATTTCACTCATCGGTAAAAACGACATCGTGGTGCTCGAAGAGTGGACGAACATTCTTTAGGGCATATCAGAAAATAAACGTGTCGAGGAGTATGACGGAGGTGAGATGTATCATCTGCGGTTTCTGGTAGTCTTACAATCGCTTGCGCAGGGACTTTGTTTTGTCTAAGAAATCACGGAGGCTGAGGCAACTCAAGAGATGTTCTTGATCGCATGATCGTGGAGTTTCTTTTAAAGAGAGCGGATTTTGCATCTCTTGTTCACCAACGACCACCACCACCGCTATAAATCAGATGGACGACTACCTGTATGGCAACGTGGAGCAGATCAAGGGATTCGCACCCTTGGGGCCGCCTGATGAGACAGAGAATCCAACCCAATCTGCACCTGCTTGGTCTTTCTACGAGCAGATGGCTAAATACTACCACCAGCTCCACTTTGATTCCGAGCGGGATGCAGATTTTTTCCCACAGACGCCTTGCAAAGACTACCTCTCCAACGGACATGGCCTTGGCAGCCTGTTAACGACGGACTCGCGCTTCATTTATGGCGACACTTCACCATTTCTCTCGGAACTTCCCTTAAATTCTGGCACGACACCATCCACCTCACTACAGCGACCCTCAACACCGCCTATGTGGATCGACAGATTGGGTTTCATAGAACTTGCACCGTCCGCAGCACCCTCTTCATACCTTCCGGAGCATCTTCTGGGCGCATCGCTTTCTACTGAGGCGAAAGGACAGCCTGCTCATCAGGACTTCCCGCTGTCTAGCAAGAAGCGTAAAAGGCTACAGTCTGACTTACAGGTGTCCTCGGCCTCTAACTTGTACACGGGGTCTTCGAGCGATGCACCACGGTCGCGATCCGAATCCTCCCATCACGAAGACGACGAATCGGATTCTGGTTCTGTCTACCGCCCTAGTCCAGGACCTTCTACCCCGACGCCCAAAAAGAGAACTCGATTGACCAGATCGACGAAGCACTTTGGCAAGAAAGGCGACAGTGGAGACAAGCCGACGGTCGTTGCGAATGGCAGTAAGAAAATTCGCGGAAGGAAAGTCGCTGTTGCTCCAGAGTTTCGTGAAGGCGGTCAGATTGTAGCAACGCCTCACAAGGTGCTTCCATTCACTTCGCATGGAGTGAAGATGGAGGGCGGTGCCGAGAGGCCATACATTTGTACGGAAGAAGGATGTGGGAAGAACTTCCAACGAGGCGAGCATTTGAAGAGACATGTCAATAGTGTGCATTTGAAATACAGACGTGAGCTCGACCTTTTCACTCTTCGGTTCCAGTGCTCACAGTTCCTTAGGTTATGAATGTCCACACGAAGGCTGCACGAGCACTTTCAGCAGAAAAGACAACATGAAGCAGCATGGACGTGTCTCCCATGGTCTGCCGCCTGTAGCGATGGAGATGTCGAATGGGAGCTTTTCTGGATCATAAGGAGAGAGAGAATCCAAAGTCAATGAAACAGTAGCGAGGCCAGCATTTAGTGCGCGTAATGTGCCTTACAAATACTGTATATTTTGAATTCATGAAAGGATGAATAGGATGAGAGCCTTTTGGAGACAGCCTGCTCGGATCCAGCATCGCGGTCATGACAGTGATATCCTTCAGAAACGGTTAGTATCATCACTGAGATCAGAAGGGAAGGCGCCAAGCTCTGCCACAAAATTCCGGTGCATAAATTCGAAACCCTGCGCAAAGTTCAGTCATAAGAAATAGCTATAAATGGGAGAACACGTACATCGAACAATTGCTGAAATGCGTCTATGAATTCGGCAACTGTTAGTCCTCACACCTCTCGTACATTCAAATATTCACCTCTTGTCCTGGGTGTAAGGTCAACTCGGCATAATTTGACATTCGTGATGAATGGGTACTCAGTTTTTGATTTGGTAAGTAAAGCGTGGACAACACTCCCCGGCCGTATCCTCTCGCAGTGGCGCTGGAAGCTATATCTGACGGACGCATGTATTGTGTGGCGGCCTCGACGGAAGTCCATTCTCCCATGAGATCAGTTCTTCTACGCTGGTCGGGCGCCGGCAGAATTTACGAGGTAGATGATGACAGCTATTGTATTTCAATACAGAAAGCTGAAGAATTGGAAATCTCTGAGTCGACCATCGGCCGCTCCACGGGTCAGATCGCTGTCACCGAATTCGATCATGACTTCGTATACATAAGTTACGGCTCGAGTCTTCGTCTGACTCGCTAGAAGTGAAGCGGCGTCACTATTAGTGGAGTCAGAGAGTAGGTGGCATGGTTCAGGGATTGCAGCGAAACTTGCTCAATAGCGGTGACAACGATCCTGAACAGTAGATTTATCAGGAGTAGATCCATTGAATACAAGGATCAATGCATTGAACCGACCTCCTCAAAAATTGAGAGCAGGAAATAATATGCGAGAAAGTGGGGTTTCCGTAGGACCAACAGGTGGAGGAGGCCCTCTGGGACAATTTGGCGAATGCAGTTGATAGGATACCATGGCTGCCGTAACCATCAATATGAATCTAGAGCGCACGCGGGTGCCACAAGTCACTGCAGCCAATAAACCTCTGCGGAAGCAAGTCCAATAGATACCTAAAGAGGCATTCACCGCTCGACATTTTCAAGTTCAGGATAACAACGATATCTGTGAATACTAGGATCATTCCATTGTGTCTTAAAGGACTTTGAGTGTTGACTTAATGGGCACATAAATGCTTGAACTTGCTATATGTTGTCCATTACTTGCAATGATGGTATATGGCAAGGAAAGTTACAAAATCTACATGTGGTATGGAAGTGTCTACCTAATATCAATCTTGCTGACAAGGGAAAATCTAGTGTGGACCTGGTGGTTTTTGTCACTGCTAACTATCATGAAATGTGAGTGTCCCAATGATGGTTGCACTGTAACACCTTGATGTACATTGGACCCTACTCCTCTGACCCCTTACATTACTATGCTGATATTATTCAACTAAGTAGATTACTGTTCCCCATTATGCTTACCTTTATCTCTATGATCTTATTCTACATCTGTTCCTTATCTATTTGAATTACCCAAGTACTATATAAACTTTTGTGATACAGTAGATAGATGACTTTTTCTGAATCAAAGTATCTTTTACCTGATCACCCTTCATTCACCTGAAGTTCTTGCATGATGGAACTGTGACTCATCTTGCTTCTGTGTTACATGCATGCCGCCAGCCTCTGTGTCACCTAAACCAACCACAATTCCAATCACGCTACCCACTGGACTCCAGCTGCTTCCTATTACCTACTAATTTCATTTCACTATTATCATTTCACATCCGTATTTCACATTGTAATATTTAGACCCCAAACTCGGTAGCGAATATTGACACCAGAACCCAATGGAACCTGACTCAGAATTAGCTACCATTAGTATATAAAGCCATGTATATCATCGTAACTACTCAGTTTGAATATCAACTTGGATAAGCCATCTACACTTCACACTCACTTCAACTCCTCCCTATCTCATCTGTTGGATTCTGCTCCAAAGGATATTCCTGTTCACTTCCCTGATGGAACTCCATTCTGCCCATCCAGATCCTTGGGCTCTGACTCAAGGGTGACATTGCCAATAGCTTCGTCGATGCCCATGCACTCCGCCAGACTCCACATATGCACTCAAGCCCATTTGATTGGCACGTTCCTAACAGTATATTTGAACTCAAACCCTTGAGTCGAAAATTTTATCATGTCCACCACATTTACTGAACCCACAGAAACTGATCCCGAACAAACCCAGCTCACTCATCTAAACATATTTTCCATGGAAGACATTCCAGCCTCTGCCTCAAAGAAACAACCAGGCCTTTTCAGATTGGCCTCCAGTGGAGGACAACCTTCCCGTAGGGAAACCTACAATCACTCTAGCTTCACTGCCTGCCAACCTAATTACGATGAATCCTCTAACCCTTTCGATGCCACCAGCATTTCAACTAATGGGGCCCAATGGATCAGCCTGATGTATAGTGCCCGAACCGACCCTCCAATAAACCCCTTATCCCTAGGCAACATGCACAGGGATCCAGACAGCCCAGACTCAGAGAGCAGAGATAAAAACACCCCTACTCATACTCCCATCCAATGGAAACTAGGTGACAATCCACCAAACCCTTTTTCAGGTGGATCAGAAGGACCAGAGAGACCAGGAGGACCAGGTGGTCCCAATGGCCCAGGCAGCTCTGATAGCCTCACAAGAAGTAACAATCCTAACCAGCAGGACATGTTTCTAGAATTCATGAACCTGCTACAAGGAGTCTCCACTTCCCTTAACAACCCTAAACCAGCCACTATCTGCACCAAGATCAAGGAACCAGAACCATTTGATGGCTCTGACTCTCGCAAACTGAAGGCTTTTATTGTCTCTCTTCAGTTGAACTTCAATGACAGACCTACTGCATTTGCAACAGATGCTAACAAGATTAACTATACTATTTCATTCCTGGCTGGCATCATGCTTAACTGGTTCGAACCAGATATTCTTAACCTCAATCCATGGAATCCACCAGCCTGGCAATTCTCCTATGCAGCTTTCTTAGATGAGCTTCATAGCAACTTCAGCCCCTTTGATGCTATCAGAGATGCTGAAGATGCATTAGAACATCTTTGAATGTGCGATGGGGATCGGATCATGAAGTATATAGTTCAATTCAACCAGTATGCTTCATAAATTGGATACAGAGATAACTCTCTCCATCATGCCTTTTACCATGGTCTCTGCACCCATATCAAGGATGATATGGCACACTATGGAAAGCCAAACAACCTTCATGATATCTGCTTCCTCACCTAAGAACTTGATGCTCGCTACTAGACCTAGAAGACCAAAATTGCCTGTGAAAATTGGGACAATAAATTTTCCAACCCCAAATCTAAGGGGTCTAACACATCTTTCTCAGACTCCAGCTCCACACTGAAATCTACCACCTCTAAGCTCTATACTGACAAGCTAGGCAAAGATGGCCATCTTATTCAGGAAGAAAAAGACCACTGGTGCCAGAACAATCTTTGCATGTTCTGTGGAGCCAAACACAAGACCGAGGACTGCAACAAGTGGAAGGCAGCAGCCTCCATCAAGGGTTGTGCAGCAGAAGTTGACACTGCTCCCATGGAACCAATCCCGATGGAGTCAGAAAACTAGAAAGCAACCCTATTCCCTCCATGTGAGTTTAGGGTTGTATTGACTCTATTCACACACTGGAGGTTATCACTCTCAATGCAACATCCCTTTCCAATCACTCCTTCCACATTCTCCTCTCAGCAAAATTACTGACTACTACGGAACCTGATAGTCCCCCAACTTGTATCATTCTGCATTTTCTTGCCCTTATTGATTCTGACTCTAGCCACTGCTTTGTTGACACTAAGTATGTAGCTGCCAATGAAATTCCCATTAAAACCATCCCTAGTGTGCAACTTCAATTATTTGATGGCTCCATCAGGAGCCGTATATCTCAAATTGCAACCATCTCCATCTGTTTTCTGTCTGGAGACACCTTCACTATCAACTTCTATATCACTCCTCTGGATTCGTCTTGCAATCTTGTCCTAGGATACAACTGGCTCTCCTGCTACAATCCTCTGATTGACTGGGTTGAGAATAGTATCATTTTCCACTCAAGCTACCAGGATCTCACTCCAACCAATTTTGTGGCCTCTGCTGCATCCCAGGGACTTCTGTGCCCACAGGACAACAGTCCACCCCCCTCTGAGCCTTCCAGCTCAAATCTGGGACTTCTGTGCCCACCAGACTCTATCAGTCCAACTCCCAGGGCTTTACCCTATTCCAAATCGACTTCAGGTAACCGGCAGACTCTATTCCCATATGAACCTATCTACTCCTATCCTCCCTCAGAGTCTTTTACTACAAAAGCACATCCAAAGATCTCCATCATATCCACTGCCACATTTGTCTGAGCCAGTGCAGAAGAAGGCACTCAGCAGTTCACACTGCAGCCTTCCTTGCCTAATATTGGAGCCAAAGCCATATCTGTGAAACCAGCAGATCTTTCATCAGTGCCAGTAGAGTACTATGATTTTGCAGATGTCTTCAGCGATACCCTCTCTGAAAAGCTACCTGAACACAGGCCATACGACCTTAAAATCAATCTTGAGGAAGGAACATCCCTACCACTTGGCCCCATTTATTCTCTCTCAGAATCTGAACTCAAGGTGCTATGAGAGTTTATTGATGATAATCTATGCAATGGGTTCATTATGCCATTCTGCTCTCCACATGGGGCTCCAGTCCTATTTGTCAAGAAAAAGACCAGTGAACTCCAACTTTGCATCAACTACCATAGCCTAAACAAAATCTCCAAGAAAGATCGCTACCCTCTCCCCCTTATTTCTGATCTCCTTGACTCCGCCCACTCTATGCACATCTACATCAAGCTCGACCTTAGGCACACCTACCATCTCATTTGCATAGCTAAAGGGGATGAATGGAAAACAGCCTTCTGGACCCATTACAGATCCTTTGAATAGCATGTCATGCCTTTTGGCCTCACAAATGCTCCAGCAGCATTTTAATGATTTGTGAATGATATATTCTCTGACATGCTCAACATATTAGTAGTAGTCTGCCTTGATGACATTCTCATATATTCTGACAACCCAGAAGATCACCAGAAACATGTTCGAGAGGTTCTACGCAGGCTTAGAGCTAATAGACTCTATTGCAAGAGTTCCAAATGCAAATTCAACTGGGATTCCATGAAATATCTAAGCTACATCCTATCATCTGAAGGACTTCGCATGTCTGAAGAAAAAGTCAAGGCCATTGTTGACTGGCCAGTGCTGCAAAAAGTCAAAAACATCTAATCTTTTCTTGGCTTTGCCAACTTCTACCACTGCTTTATATATAAATATAGCAATATCATTCTTCCTCTTACACAACTCATCCGCAAGGGAACTCCATAAAAATTTGATGATAAATGCTTAGCTGCCTTCAATGAGTTGAAACAGGCCTTTACACACACCCCTATCCTTACCTACTGGGTCTCCGATCGAAAGATAGTGGTGGAAACTGACACCTCTGACTATGCAATTGCAGCTATTCTCTCTATCTATCTTGAAGATAGTGAAATTCACCCCATCGCTTTCTGCTCCCAAAGCCTCCACAATGCTGAACTCAACTATGACACCCATGACAAAGAGCTTCTAGCTATTTTTGAAGCCTTTAAACATTGGCAGCATTATTTTGAAGGCTCCGTGGACTCCATTGATGTTGTAATGGACCACAAGAACCTTGAATACTTCGCCACCACCAAGATCCTAACCCACCAACAGGTCTGCTGGTCTGAATACCTATCCCAGTTCAATCTAGTAATCCGGTTCTGCCCTGGAAAACTTGGTGGGAAACCAAATGCCCTCACTAGATGATGAGATGTCTACCCTAAAGAGGAGGATAGCCAATATGCCCAAATCAACCCCTACAATTTCTGACTCATATTCACTCAAGAACAACTCTCTGCATCACTCTGAGCAACCTATCTCGAAGGCCCCACCCTATGGGCTAGTGCCATTATGGATATCGACAAACTCCACACTGATATTAGACAAGCACAATTTTCCGATGCTACATCCTCCAACGGACTCTGCCAGGCCAAAGCCACTTCTGAATTCTCTCCTTCTCAATGATCCATTGACAAATCCAACATCCTTTACTTTGAAGGCTGCATCTATGTCCCAGACTTCAACGATCTCCATCTCCATATATTATAGAACAATCATGACCATATCTTAGCAGGTCACTTTGGTCAAAACTGGACATTGGAACTAGTCTGGTGGAACTACACTTGGCCAAAGATGCATGAATATATCTGACACTATGTTAAGTCCTGCACAGTTTGTGGGCACAATAAGGCACCCAGACACTGCCCCTATAGGTTACTCAAACTCCTGCCAGTTTCTGAATGGCCATGGAATTTCATTTCCATAGACTTCATTAAACAACTACTGGACTCCAACAGATTCACCACTATCTTAGTAGTCATAGATCAAGCTAGCAAGCAAGCCATCTTCATTCCCACTCATGACACCATCAACTCCATGGAGCTTGCCCAACTTTTCCTTATCCATGTATTCTCCAAACATGGGGTACCCAATCACATCACATTTGACTGCGGCTCCAAATTTGTCTCTCAATTTACTTGCACCTTAGCTGTGGCCCTTGACATGGAACTCCACCTTACCTCTGGTTATCATCCAGAGGCCGATGGATAAATGGAATAAGCAAACCAAACTCTGGAACAATACATCTGCATCTACTGCTCCTACCAGCAGGATAACTGGGACACCCTCCTACCCATCGCTGAATTTGCCTACAACAATGCCTCTAATGCATCCACCAGAATTTTCCTATTTTTTGCTAACAAGGGTTACCACCCCAACATTACTGTTCACCCCAAAAGAGACATTGCCTCTGCCTAGGCCCGAGACTTTGCAGTCAACCTGGATGAACTTCATCAATTACTGAAGAATGAAATTTCTGAAGCTCAGTCTCGCTACAAGATCCAAGCAGACAAGCACTGGATTCTGACACTCCCATTCACAGTGAGGGACAAGGTCTACCTCAGCTTCAAACATATCAAAACCACCCACCCAACCAGAAAATTTTCAGAAAAATACCTTGGTCCTTTTGAAATCATAGCTCAACCTGGTACCCACTCCTTTACCCTGAGGCTTCCACCAGATCTCCAATCTATTCACCCTGTCTTTCATATGTTATAATTGGAACCCATAGAAGAAAACACCATCCCTAACCAAATCCAACCACCACTGCCTCCAGTCGAAGTCGATGGAGAAGAATATTTTGAAATAGCCCAAATCCTCGACTCTAAACTGGACCACCAGTTCCACTGCCCACTGTTGTACAAAATTCAGTGACTAGGATACAAAGGTACCAATGAAGAATTTGCTTAGTTACCGGTCTCCAAGTTCTCCACTGATGAATTCATTAAAGAATTCCACCACCGATACCCAGGCAAACCAGGACTCTTGTCCAAAGTCATTCAAACATCCCATTCCTAATACAATGCTACTCTGGACACCACCAGTGCCCCACCTTACCATTTCAATTCTAACCACTAATCACTACCATTTCAATCACCTCTTTTACACTTTCAAAATCAAAACCTTGTAATTATATTTTTTTTCTTCTTCACTATCAACATCCAACACCCATTTCTATATACATTTTGTACAAATATTTTACAAAGATATGGAACCCGATGGGCCCACACTAGAATCCAAACTCTCTCTCTGCTCCTTCAACTCCTCTATATCCTTGTCCAGCCCCTTCAACATCACCTTTCAAAGATCCTCCATCTCCTGATCCCTCTCATCCTTGAAGATTAATTGGGCCTTCTTTCAGGCCTCCACCTCAGACTCCAAAAACAGCTCCAAAAGAGATGACATATCATCAGAACTGTAGTCATCTTGAAGACCTGCCACAGTACTGTGAACATCTGCCACCTCGTCTGCCAACTCATCCATGTAACACATCAACTTGCATATCAATTTTGAAAGTTGGTGGAGACCAGTGGAGACCTCCACACTGCTGATCACCTCACTCATGGTGATGCCCTTGTTGAATGAACAGGCAGTCTTCTTAACCTTGCAGCAAGAGCAAGTCCACCCTCAACCAGCGCCTTTGGTTACCAGTTGCACATAACACTCTGTGCCATCTTGATGACAATGCACACAACTCCCTGAAAACAAAAGCTAAGTGAAGCCATGAAAGAAAACCAAGACACTTACTTTCACTATCCAACAATTCTTTGCCCTCTGCCGGTCTCACCACTTCCAACTTTGCCTGCTTTTTGGGGCTAACAACCATCTCTGTCCTACTGCTATCCACTATGCTTCTCGACCTGAACTTGCATTTATAGCTCTTCTCTGCCAGACCTGCTACTCTTCTCTTCCCCTCCCGCACCCTCTTCCTCCTCTCCAGAGTCTCTTTGGATTCCTCAGACTCATCATCCCCCTCAGTTCCCTTGTCCTGCTCATCATCGGACTCTGGAGGCACATGGCAAGTCACCTTCTTGAAGTGAAGACTGGAACCAGGACCAAACTGTTCTGCCAACACTTGATGCAGCCAGAAATCAATGGCCTCTGCAGGGGTCATTTGCAACCCCTCCTCCATAACCATCCCCTCTGGCTCTACCTTCTCAGCCTCAACCCTTGCCACTGCCTCTGCTGTCTCCCTCTCCTCTGCCTCCTTCACCTGCCTCTCTATGGCCTGCTGAACCTCCTCCCTCTTTCTCTCCAATTCCTCCCTCTGCTTTTTTTTCCATGACTCTTGGGCCACATGGTCTGCTCAGACCCTTTCCTTCTGCTCCTGCTCCTCTTGCCACTCCAAATGGCTCTCCATGGCCTCCACATATTCTTTCTCCATGGTTCGCCATTCTAGATGAAACGATTCCTTGGCCTCTTCAGGGCCATCAGAGGTAGACCCTCTCATCAGAGGCTTGGGAGTGTGTGAGTGACAATACGTGGTGAGTGATGACATAAGCAAAGATAGTAGTTTCAGTTCAAGCTACAAAACTCCCACAGCTACCAACAATCTTCCATGTGGCCCCACCGGCCATTGGGATCTGCACTCTTGAGGGCAAGAATGCTAAGGGGGGAATACTGTTATGCACATGCTGCCGGCTTTCACATCACCTAAACCAACCACGATTCCAATCATGCTATCCACCAGACTCTGGCCACTTCCCATTACCTACTAATTTCATTTCACTATTATCATTTTACATTCGTATTTCACATTGTAATATCTAGACCTCAAACTTGGTAGCGAATATTGACACTAGAACCCAATGGAACCTGACTCAGAATTAGCTACCATTAGTATATAAAGCCATGTATATCATTGTAACTACTCAGTTTGAATATCAACTTGGATAAGCCATCTACACTTCGCACTCATCTCAACTCCTCCCTATCTCATCTGTCAGATTCCGCTCCGAAGGATATTCCTGTTCACTTCCCTGATGGAACTCTGTTCCATCCATCCAGATCCTTGGGCTCTGACTCAAGGGTGACATTGCCAATAGCTTCGTTGACACCCATGCACTCCGCCGGACTCCATGCATGCACTCAAGCCCACTCAATTAGCATGTTCCTAACATTCTGTTACATAATAACTTGACTACCACTTTGCCTCTTTGCCTATCACATCAAGTATATCAACAACAGTCTTGGTGGATGCTGTCACAAGGAACTCTTTAGCCTGATCAACTAGAACAACCTTGACAATAACCATCAAAAAAAATCTCTTTGCTTTTCTCTCTTCCTTTCTCTCTGTTTCTATCTTTGCTTCTTTATACTATTATGATGTCTGGCTTGATCCACAACCTCTGCAGTGCAGAGAACATCACAACATCAGATGACTGGTCTATGAGCCTAACTCAGACCACTTGTCATGCTCTGAAAAATTTACAGGGTGAGCCATCATTTTCTGAATCTCTGTCTGACCTTTCTTCTTTGCCCTTAGACAGCATGGTGCTTGATGGAGAACATATTGATGGCAATGCTGATGAGCATGCCACAGCAAATCAGAGTCCTGCCAATGAGCTGTCAACTGGAGACAACAGTGTTGACCACTCTGGAGTGGGTATAGGTCAAGATGCTGAGGCTGGACACTATATGCTGAATGTCACAGCAATGCAGCCTCCTTTTGAGATTGCTTCTGATACAGGTCACCAGAAGGGTGTCTCTGTAATGCCAGTAAAGCATAGTGATCTGATCCAGACTGGGGATAATATCCAGGAAGAGGGTAATTGGACAACAGTGGTTGGAAGACTGCCTCATCATAGGATGAGCATATCCTTAGCTATCAGTAGTGCTGATGGCATACTTACTCTATCGCATAATAGATTTGCTGTTGTAAATGATAAAAATCCTTGTGAATGTCTAGAACTTACATCTGTGCAATTGAGCACTATTTAACAGGCTGAGACTTTAATTTCTGACAAGGCCAAGAAAATATTAGACAGATGTAGGCAGGCTATAAGTTTGGCCAATCAACTGATGACCTCTCTGTCTCCTATTCCAGGCCCATCTCAGAATAAAGGCAAGTTTGTTGACTACTGAAATAAACTGGTCATGTTGCCAGAACTCAATGTGAAGGACTTTAACATTGACAGCCAGCAATGTGCCTTCAATTTTTGGGAGGCTTTTCAAAATAAATCGGCTGAAGTACAACATCTATTACTAGAAGAGGCTGCTGCTCATTTACACTAACACTCACACTCAAATGGTGAGAGTGTTGCTGCTAACAACAACACTACAAACAAGTCTGCTGAGCCTAGCTCTGAAGTCTCAGATGTACTAGCCACTGCTGAGACAATGCCTGAACAACATAGGTATACAGTTGAGATCATAGAAGAGGCTAATTTGAACACTTATCATATTTTTCCTGCTCAATCAGTAGTATCAGAAAATAGATCTGTATTCAATTACACTGCAATTCCTATGATTGACAGACAATCATCTTTATATAGAGCTCAAACATGGCATATAGTTGATGCTGCTCTACATTCAATATGTATAAATCCCACTGTGATCACACTCATAGTCAGTAGCAGCCACTTAGATCCAGCTTATGCACTAGACCAAGTTGCACTGACCAGCTTTCTGGGTCAGACTCTTGACAAAGCCATGATGGGAGATCTGGACCCTTCAGATAGTGATTCCTCAGACTAATCATCATCTGATAGTGAAGTGGATGACTCTGATAATATTGTGGCTGATTCTAAGATGCCTTACAAGGATAAAAAAATATTGTAAATAGGCTAAGAATGATCACCCTATACCTCTCATATTGTATGGTGTTAGTTTAGACCCTGAAGCCTTGACAATGTTCATTTAAGAAGCTGCACAATACTTGAAGGCAGCTGGGGTATTTCACCATGATGAGGTATTTTATGTCACTTGCTTCTTGAAGAAAGAAGCATATTGATTTTTTGTTCAGAATGTTAGTGCAGATTACAAGGACTGAATGCTTATATGTTTCTATGATGAATTGTTCAATTGATGTTTTTCATGTGATTATCATACTAAAATCTGTCACAAGATTGCAAAGTGCTTTCAAGATCCTGGATATGTCTGAGATTATGCATTTGAACTATGAAGTCAGTTTAGGATGTGGAGGGATGAATCTGAGTGAACTCAAGTCATTAAGCTTTGACATGGGCTCTATCAGACCATTCAGATGAAGCTACTTATATAAGGATACCATCAAGAAATTAATTCATGAGATGAGATTTTTAATATGGCTGAGATTATTGAAATTACTCAGATCAGTATAGAAGAAACTCAGCATCACAATTATGAGCATAATCATCATGCAAGCAACTTGCATACTAATTCTGCTACTAAGAACAGCAAGTACAATAATGTGCCTTGCACCAAGTATGATAATTTCCCAAAATCTGCAAGAATGAATCCAATGCAAGATGCATGCAAAATTTGATCTCATGCTATTGCTGATTCAAGGTACTGGAACTAGGATAACTCCTACTAGAAGAAAAAGCCTTGGAGTGAGAAGACTCTATCCAAGAAGGAGAAAGCAGAATACTTAGCTGAAGGGTGATGTTTTTATTGTGGTAAGACTAGACACAATTCCAGAGAATGCTCAGATAGGCAGATCTCTGGCAAGTGCTCAAGCCCTCCTGGTCTTTCATCTGCTAGCATCTGGATAGCTCTCAAGGAAGCTGATAGGGTGATCTAATTAGCAAGTGAGACTGGCATACAATTTAACCTACAGCTAAATAGTATAAGGATACATGAACTCTTGAATCTTGCATTCACCTATTTCACAGAGTATTGTATAGATGATGCATGTGATTCTGCCTGTGGATCAGCTTGCAAATATGACACTGACAATGGATTTGAGTTGGGAGACAAGATCTCTGAACTGGTCAGTGTTGAGAGAAGTTTAACAGAAGCCATATCTGTTCATCTCCATGAATGGAGGTCAAAGTGGTGGCCATAGAAAGACACTAAATACCCAAGACTCAGTGCAGAAAAGCCTGACAGCTTGGATTAGTCTAATAGGTGTTAAGCCCAAATAACATGTGACTGAAACACATGATAAACTGATGCTGCTTTGCATTCAGGCAGTCATGTCAGAGTCCACTATATGTGTCTGTTTGTCTATATGTTGCAAGACCTTGCAATTGGCTTGAGATAAGATGGTGAAGAATAAACTTTAGCTTGAAGCTGGAGATACTACAGTGAGAGCTACACTACTTATATACTAGTCATCATTCATCTAAAGATATAACTACCTAATTGTGTGTCCTGGCATTATAGAGTGTTTTATCCAGTATTGTTAAGCTACCTACAAAAAAGTATTGTCTGTTGTCAAGTGGTAACTATCACATCAAAGGACAATGACCAACTAGGCATTGTTGTGATGACTAAGCCTGATCCTATGGTCCTAAGCACTGGCTAAGCACTCTGACTAAGCAAAGATAGGAGTCAGTCTCTTGAATAAAAGATAAAAATGAGGAAAAATCATAATATTATCTCCTCCTTAAGACCATCATCCCAATGGCTAATTTAGAGATAAGTCTGGGTGTCCCAGAGCAGATAACCTACTCTTCTTCTTATAAGATTCATAAAGATATTAACTATTAAATTGGTCAATACCTCTGGTTGTATTCATGTATTGCATCCTCTGCATCTATATGTTGTTTGTTTATCCATTGATTTGATTCTGGTCTATAGCCCTTTCAACTGACCAGGTAGTCAACTGTTGTCATCATACTGCCACCTTTAGTCTTGATTTTTCATAATTTATGGTCCAATACTTAGTTGATTTTATAATGTTCTTTATCATCAATCAAGTCAGGTGGAGGCAGAGATGGTCATTCTTAGTTGGGAAATGCCAGTGCAATGTAAAGCATTAGCAGTATCTTGTTAAAGATGTTGTGTATTTTTCAGGTGACTAAAAGACATAATTTGTAGGCAGAGATGCTGATTTTGACCAGCATGAGAAATGGTCTGGTCTGCTTGTCAGTTAGCTTGTGCTTTGAATGGGAGAGGTGCAGATTTGTTGTATCCAGTCAGACTTTATCATTAACTGAATACTCATAAGCTGTACAGCAATGTTTGTCATACTGTTTCTTTATTGAGGCTGTGGTTTTTTCAAGGGCAGCCTTTGTTTCAGTGTGGATTTTCATTATGGTTATGGTAAAATCAGAGGATGTGGGTGTCAAAGTGTGTGTGCATTTGGATTGGGTGATGTGAAGATGTCACCCATAATTGATAAAGAATGGGATTTTGCCTGTGGCTGAATGGATGTGATTGTTATGTTAGAAGGTGGCAAGCACCAACCATTTCACCCAGTCATCCTGTCAATAGTTGATGAAGAGGCAGAGATATTTCTCTATCTCTTGATTTGCCTATTTGATTTGTCCATCTGTTTGAGGGTGATATGCAGTTGAAGCATTCTGTTTGATGTTCAGGAGTTGGTATAAGTCATCCAAGAACTTGGATATGAATTGTGGGCCCCTGTCTGAAATGGCAACTTAGGGTATGCCATATTTGGCATACACCTCATTGTATAAGATCTTTGCCCATCCTTCAGAGGTCAGCTCAGTAGAGCATATGACTGATATGATTGCTTTGGAGAAGCAATCAACTATGACAAGGATTGCATTATAGCTAGTACAGTCTGGCAATCTGGTGATCATATCCACTGAAATGTGGGTCTATGGTGATGATGAGATCTTATTTGAGTGGAGTGGTGCAGCCCATAGTTGTGTTGAAGACTTGTCTCATTAGCAAGTCTCACAGACTTTGACATATCATTCTATATCTTAGCCTATCTTGGGCCACTAGTATTTCTGTAGGACCAGTTCCTTCATCTTGGCAATCCCTGGATGTCCAGCAGTTGCATGGTTATAGCAGGTGGCAATTATTTCACCACAAAGTGTCTGATTCTTAGAAATGTAGATTTACCTGTTATAATGGATTATTCCTTTCTCCTTCTTTATTTCTTGCTTGTGATTGAGTGATGGAGCAATCTGCTGGTCCCATTTGTGGGTGTCTCATGTGGCACTCTTGATGTGCTCATGAATCTCTTCTTCTGTTGGCATGATCATCATACAGAAGTGCTCCAGCTTCAGAATCATGACCTCCTTGTTGTCATCTCCTCCTTGGTTGTGGTCTGCCCTTCTGCTGAGCAGATCTGCCTTCTTGTTGGCTGTACCAGCTTTGTGGTGCAGCATATAGTTATATTCAGATAATTCTGTAACTCACTGAGCTTGTCATTGGTTCAGCTTCTGTGATATTCAAAAGTATCAGAGGTTTTGATGATTGGTCTAGATTTCAAAGGTCTGGACTGATCCAATTAAATAATGCCACCATTCAGCCAGTGATATGCAGACTATATGTCCAGCCCTATAATTTGCAAATTCTGCATAACACACTAGAATATGCTAGTAACTGAGAATCATTAGCTAGTAGAGAACTATGGCTGAGGCTCTAAGCTGATAGTCATGCTAGTCACCAATAATAAGTCCAAAAGGGACTTTGTAAAATAACATAGCCTAAGGATAAAAGTCCTAAGTCAGGTTTGAACTTAGAAAAGTTCTGCATCACACCTTGGAAAATACTAAGTCCAAGTTAGACTTAGAAATGATATCTCAAATAGGGCCAATTCTACATGCCACTAAAACAAGTATATTCTAAGATAGCTAGAGGTAATACCATAGCCAGTTGTGGAGTATTGAGTAAAGACAGCATCATTCAGGAGTAGTAAGAAGAGAGATCCAATGATCTGTGGCTAGCACTCTGAGTTTTGACTCAAATGCCTAAGTCTAAATTTTCTAGATATCAGGTGACCTAAGGGACTTAGAATTGAGAGGAATAGAGTGGATAGGACCAGTTGACCGGGCTTGACCAGGCCTGATCAATCAAGCTACTAAGAATAACTCAGA